GTTGAGGGATCCTGCTGCCAAAGAAACTGACCGTGAAAAAACCTTTGTTACCAATGAAAACGACGCCTACAATCTGTTTGAATTCACAACGAAAATACAGTATCGTTTAAATAACGTACCACGAAAAAAGTATGGAATCAGCGAAGGTTTTTATGTAAGTAATTGAGCACTAAAGGCTTTGGCATGGGAAGAATGTATCAGTGATTGATTAATGGTATTGAGTTTATGATATTTAAAGCGTAAGCCTTTTATGCTTCAAAAGTGATAAAAAAAAGTTTATTACGGTTTATCTTATTGAAATTGTTGTTATTGAATTGTTACGAATATTTCGTGTCAAATTACAACAAATTTAAAACATAAGATTAGTGGGCAAAAATATTTTAAAAGAATAAAAAACGTTTTATATGAAAGCTTATAATCAGGACGTTAAACCGGTTTTTCATAGAAACAGATTTCAGATCTGATCTGGTTCAATTACAGCGAAAGAGAGGTACTAGATAGGTTTTCCAACAATGGAACAGATAAATAGTTTCACTTTATGTTACATAGGCAACGTCTCATAAAGGTGGAAGTTAACAGAAGAATGTTTATTTAAAAAATCAGTGATTAATCTTAAGTGATTAATTTGAATTAGTTGATTGAGTTGCAGTAATTATTCGATATTTGCTTAAACGGTAACGGCTTATAGTGTTTGTATAAAAAGGAAACATGTCAGCTATTTCATTACCATCGATACCCTTAAGTGCATATATTTAGATGACCGTGACTTTATAAATGGTAGCTAACCTAGATATGAGGTTTTTGCAGTTTCACTTTAGGTTGACTGTGGTGGTTCAGAATGCAAAAGATTTTGTGATTGTCACAGCTTTGTACCACAGCTTTCAATGGTAAGCACTTCTGACTGAAATACTGTGGGAAAATGTTCGATTGCTAAACAATGTTGAATTGTTTTTGATCCGCTTTTGAATTTAGAGCAATTAGTCGACAAAACATAAGCATTTGAGTATTATCTAAAATTGTCTTCTTCAAATTAATTTTTTTATGAAATTACCTGCACATGTACCCTAAAATCAGACTTATCTCCAACGTATGTGATATTTTAATAGATTTTCTGTAAGTTAAACCTACATTTAAGATATCATATGTGCAAGTCGGAAATCATATTATATTTTTTACACTATACAATATGGTATACTATATAATATATTTATAATGTATTTATAAACATATTTTTTTACTTCGCTCGTAATAACTACTACGCCAGCCTCTAAACTTTTCTAATTGACTTTTAGACACTTATTTGCTTTATATGTAGCCACAATAGAATAGCTCTACACTGTACTAAAGGAGTTTATGGTACTTAGATGCTTTGTTTTTGATCACCATGGGTTTACTTCATAAGTGACAATAAGCTTAATCATAGTTTAATATGACCAGAAATTTAGTTATCAGCTTATTTCGCATTTTGTTACTCAAAGACGTCGGTTATTATTTGTTGTCTTGTATGTTTTCCTCTTGAGATGTTCATTTCATACCAATTCCCCAATCAAAGATAATTTCAAGATATATAGCTTTGAAGAGCGTAGTGTAGTGAGTCAATGAAGTGTAATGTTTGCAAATAGAATTGAATTTCGTTCAAAAATGGTATCAGGATACTTTATATATTAAGCGGTATATTTTTATTGAGTTGCTTTGCTTTAAATATAATATCTATAATGTGACTTTTGATAAATTTCATTATTATTTAAAAAAATTTGTTAAACACAAGCATCCATATTAATTAATTTTTCGTTTTTAAATAAATTTATTTTATATATAGTATTTTGTTTAGATTTTGTCTTTGTATGTGTATCAAAATTGCAATACAATTATTTCCTTTTATTATTTTTTAAATTTTTTCATTTTGTGTGCATGTAACGGATACTTGGTATATTCTTGACACTTACCCTCGCATGGTGTGTATTTACTTTATGGTACAAAACTCGGAAGTGGTCATAATTTTCAGACATTTTGTGACATTTTGTTGCAGTTTGTTGACCGCATCTGTGTGCCATTTAACAGTGGCCACAAGTGACAACATTCACACCAGAATGAAATGAACAACAGATATACACACGCCCATTAACTTAAGTAATGCCCTGCCTTTACATAGTTTTCAGAAGAGGCTGTTAAAAGTTTTCATGAGAAGAAAAATAATGTGTGGAAAAGGACATAACTCGGATGCAGAAAATTATTTTTAAATTTATTTTCACATTTTAGCTGCGTTTGTGTTCTTTTATTGAATTGCATGTTCTTTTTATTTATATATCTTTTTTTATTATTTTTGCAGGGAAACGCACATATAGTATACAATGGGTCTTTCTACTATAATCAAAGAAATACAAACTTAGTTGTTAAATTGGATTTAGGAACCATGGAAAAGATATGTGAGTACACAAATTTTATTTTTTAGTAAAAAAGTGAATTACGAAATAAAATTATATTTAGTTAGTGTAAAACTTATAACTTTTTAATATGTTTATGTCATTTTTGTATTCGTACACTCAGAAAAATATGCTCTAGCCATATGCTAGTTAAATTAACCTGATCATTTTGTTAGAGAAATTTTAGCTCATGTGGTAAAACATATATGAAAACGAACAGGTCGTATGGTTAAACCAACATATTGCGTCGAGAAAGAATATTTTGACCTTAAAATTAGTTAAAATTTGGTTAAATCAACTAAACTATTTTCTGAGTGTACAGTTGCATTAACAAAATTTGATGAGTTCCTTGAGTTCTGTGATGAATGGATTAAAAGAAATTATACTTTTTATATTAATGATATGTTATGACTGGTTTGTATTTAGTAGACAATAAAATTAAGAAATTTAGTTCATTAATTATACTTATGAATACAGTATTGGTTTATTTATAAATTAAATTTTGTATTAGACATAGGCTTAAAGCCACTAAACGAATGAAGATTTTTTACTTACAATGTAAACTTTATATAAAAATTTAGAATGATATTATTATTAAGAATTAGTTTTTGTTTTGAAAAACTCATTCATTTATGCAAAATTAAAAAAAAAACTATTGTTTATAACAAATTTTTAGATTCGAAGTATTATTTCTAAAATATATAAACTAATCACAATGTAAATAATAATGTCACCATCTAATTGCTGATGACTTAGTAAATAATTATTTATTTACTTGTTACAAATTTCACTATTTTCTGCATCAAATTTTCTGGAATATTCTTAATGAGACCTTCTATTACAAACAAATTGCATATTAATTATATACTAGTAACTTGCTTGTGATATTCTTGCTGTCCTTGCTACATCCTGCTCAGCATGCAATTATTTACCGTCAACATATAATTCGCAGCCACATCTTTTCACATAAAAGGTTACCACAATGGCGTTGAAAATGAAGACATATCACCGCATTACATTTCGTCACTCGTTTAATTGTGCTAATGCCTTGCCTTCCCCAGCTAAATTTCACCAACTTTTTTGAGGTTATGATGTGCTCTTCATTTCACAATTTTACTACTTTTTTCCTTGTTTTTGTAGCATTTGCTGTGCAAACTTTAGTAAATTTATTTGCAACTAAAGATAAATATACACACATATATATTTAGACGTCACTTCGAGCAGATACGTATATTCCCACGCTCAACCAGAATTGTAATAGATTGTTTCACATTTTTACATAAATATATGTTATCGTATTTATGTTTATGTATATATATAAGAATATGAGTATAAATGTGTCGCAATTTGTTTGCATTTTAACGTCAACAAAATGCAAGTTTGTTGTTAATTTTTGTTAAGTTTGTTATTATTTTTGTTAGTACTTGCACTGCTCATTTTGCTTAAAATTCGGTTTTAGTCTTTCCCTCGGAGCAACACTTTTACAACATCTCATAAACATTTCATAAAATGTTTAATGACACAAACAACTTGCATACTAAAATGTCATTGCAAAAATATTTGCTTTTACTACTAAAAACATAACAGGCAACCAACGAAAGAACGAAATAATTGCTCTTTAAGTGCAAACTTCATATAAAAGTTTAATGAATTTACATACATGACGTATATGTACCCATAGGTACTCATGTACACAAGGTAATGTATGCAGTTCAAATCTAAGGTACGTACTTCACAAGCTGATGTACATACATGCTTTTTTGTGAAATTATTGTACTTCATTAGTAAGTTTCCGAAACATTGGGTCTAATAATTAGTTTAGTATTTGGTGAAACGGTTGATTTTTATTATTGTTGTGAGTTAAATATTTATTTTATTTAATCTCACGGGTTTGTGGCAGTTTTTCTGTATGATAGAGTGTACGATCTTAGGTGATCGTACATTTCCCTAAAAATAGGCAAGGTTATTTGCATCTGGGCAGTTGTTGACTAGAACCAAAGCATCAGACCGTCAGTTCGACGATAAGAAATGCTGAGTTTTGGTATTTGGTTAATAATTGGTGTCACGATGTAAGTGACTTTGAAATTGTAAATACGGAAGAATTGCAAAAATATGTAGAGCATTCTTATTAATAATAAAAACTTTGCAAATTTAGCAAAGTAAATTATGAAACTATGAATAAACCCAATTAGGTAACTAGGGTAATTTGAAGGTCATATATTGGATTTTTGCATCAAGTTTGGGTATATAAGATAGATTTAAAACCACAAAGACATATAGTTGTAAGTTAAGTTGCAGTTGGAGTTGTAGCTGAAGTTAAAGTTAGAGTCTAAGTTAGAGTCTAAGTTAGAGTCTAAGTTGGAGTAAAAATTAAGAGTCAAAGAGGAGTCAAAGACGGGAGTTGAAAGTTGTGTAGAAATAGAAAATTATAAAAAACAGTGGTT